CTGAAATAGAGACTAGGGTTTTTTTTGTTTGTTTGTTTTAAGAATTATTTGTTAAATTTTATTTATTATTATTATTATTTAAATTTGCTATAGGTCACATGCAGAACTTTTTTTTAAGAGAGATTTTTGCTATAGGGTGCGTGTGCTTGCTGGAGAGAGAGAGACAGAAAGTAAAAAATTGCCCCCCGGGGGCGGGGGGGACGGCCATGCCACAATCCCTCTCCTCCATTCTCTTCTTGGTATTTCAGGCACGCACACATGCCTGGTATGAGTTTTAAGTAGCTGGGTCTGGGACTCAAGCCACAGTCAACTATGTGAGAGTCCAGCAATGTATCCATTATACCATCTGTTGGCCCTAAGGACTAGTTTTTTAATAAGGGAGTTTTTCTAAGGAATGGCTGGAAATTTTTTAATTGGAAAAAAATAACAAAATTATACATCAATACACTCTAACATTTTAAAAAATATATTTAAAAATTTTAATTGACAGGAACCAGCAGTTGGCATAATGGCTATGTTACTGGACTCCCATGTAGTTGACCATGGTTCAAGTCCCAGACCTGGTGGCTTAAACTCACGCCGGGCGCACATGCATGCGTGTCCAAGATTCCAAGAGGAGAATGGAGGAGAAGGAATTGTGGTATGGCCATCCCCCGCCTGGGGGGTGATTTTTCACTTTCTGTCTCTGTCTTTCTTTTTCTTTCTGGCGAGTGCATGCACCCTTATAGCAAAAAATCCTCTCCAAAAAAAAAAAAAGTTTTAATTGACAAATATTTGTGTATATTTATAGGGTATGACATGATATCTTGATCTATTCATACATTATGGTTAGATTCAATTAATTCATTAACATATCCTTCGCCTCACCAATTTACCATGTTTTTGGATGAGAAGTTAAAAAATCTATTTTAGCAATGCTGAAATATACATCTTTAATAATGTGGTCTCCACGCAGTACAGGGCTCATCAGAACTTATTCTTCCAGTCTAACTGAAACTGTGCAACCTTTCATCAACATTTTCTCTTTCTCTAGCTCTTCTTCTTTCCTACCCTCTCAGCCTCTGCAACCCACATTTCTACTCTCTATATAAGATCCACTTTCTTAGACTTCACATGTGAGTTCATACAGCATTTGTCTTTCTATGCCTGGCTTCTTTCAGCTTTCATGTGATCTAACTCCCAGCCAATGAAACAGACACTGGAGAGGTGTCTGACCTTAGCTCATTTAGATATCCCCTGTGTATAAATCTTTCACATAAACTTCAGTGTTGCTTTTGTTTTCTTAATCAGAAGATGGGTAACTTTAAAAGATAAACACGTTTGAGTAAAAACTCTAAATATTAGAAAGTGAAAATGGGGAGCCTGCAGGTGGCATGGTGGTTAAAGTGCTGGACTCCCACATGGCTGACTGTGGTTTGAGTCCCAGACCTGGTGGCTTACTTTCTCAGTTTCTCTCTCTCTCTCTCTCTCCATCTCTCTTTGGTGAGCACATGTGCTCTATAGCAAAATTTAAAAAATAATACAATTAGACAAATAATTATTTTAAAAATGAAAAATAAATGTTGGAACAGTTGTTACTAGTTACAATGAAGTAGGCCATTTTTTCAGCAGAACTGCAGTGATTTTGAAATTAAGAAAGGCCTCTAATGAGAACTATCTAACAAAATGCTGAGTCATGGGAAGGTCTGTTTGAGGAACGGTCAGATGAGAAACCAAGAACAGGTATTTAAAGAAAAACAAGAATCAGGATAATTGCTCAAAGGAAAGTGACTGACTTTGATTGACTAGTGATGAACAATTTGCATGTGCTGGTATCTATAAATACTGAACACATATTTAACTTTTTGAGAGTTTGGTGGGGCTTGCTGTCTCCTTGTAACCTGACTGCAGAAATAAACTCCCTTTTTCTCCAGCCTCTGCCTATTGTTTCACTGACCATTTGTAGAAGCAGCTGGACTTAGTTTGCTGGATACAATAGAAAAACAAGAAGGGTAAATTTATTTGGAAATAATCTTTAAGAAATTCCAAAGATAATAGAAGAGACAGTTTTAACTCACACATTTCAAGTTAAATGTATTAAAGATTTTAACAAAGCTACTGAAAATGCAGTTTTACTATTGTGGACAGAAATCTGACTGCTTTTTCCTATTTTTCCAAAGTCCTTTCAAGAGAGCCTAGGAAGAGTCACGCTCACAAACATTAACAGGTAATTTTTTTCCCATTTAACAGGGTTCTTCCTAAATCCTGTCCCTGGCATAGTATCTTTGAGATGTATATTCAACTGATTACAGTATATTATTTTGCTAACCTCTTCCCAAGGCACAGAACTTCCCTTTCCTTGAGATGTAGATTTAGTATTTCTTTGTAAATCTCTTCCCAGGACACAGATCTTCTCTTCCAATCACCAGCAAAGGAATTGTGGAACCCAACTATAACCTACAAGTTCCCGCTTCCACATGTCCCGTCTTTTTGGGTCAGACCAATAGAAAATCTCTTCACAGAATTTTGTGTCAATCTCAAAAACAAATAAAAAGAACCCTTGAATGTGATCACCCCGAGAAAGGCATGTATGCCTCTTCTCCAGGCCTAGGTCACTCATATTTGGCTTAGAAATAAACCGCATTAATTATTAATTTTTACAGTTGATTATTTTTGAGTTGACACTATTTTTTTTAATGTTCATGTGAGAGAATAGACATCCTTGTTATAGGTAGATTTTATGAGTAGGAAGTCCCAATATGCCAACGAGGAGGACATTTGCCTCATAGCTTATCAGGGGATACAACCAGACCCTCTGTGAGGACGCCCCTCCCACCTGGCTCCCTGCACTGGGAAGGGGAGGCTGATCCCATTTTTCTTATTACCTAAGTTTTCTTAAAGGAAAACACTTAGGGAAGGTTGTTATCATCCCTCCTGTCAATTCACATATATACACAGGAATTCAATGGGATGTTTGGTCAATACCCCAATTTTCATTGGAGTAATTAACTAATAGGGCAGCTCATCCCTATGTGGATGCTCATATCTTCAAAGTCCACACAGGGCATGTGTAATTAGATAATCAGAATTCTTACCTAAGGGGAAGTACACAAACACAGATAAAAGCCCAGGAATTCGAACAAAGGCACTCAGGTACAATGACAGACTTCCCCTCCTGAATATTCATGAGAAGACCTCAAGATAAAAGTAACACCTAGAGGCCAGAGGTGGTGTGGTGGTTGGGCTGCTGGACTCCCCCATAACAAAATGAGGTTCCAGTTCCAGACCTGGCAGCTTGAAAATCACACAGGGCACATGAGCCTGAATGCCCAAAATCCCAGGAGAAGAATGGAGAAGGGACTGTGTGGCACGGCCATCACCCGAAGATGAGGGAGGGAGTGATTTCTCATTTTCGTTCTGTCTTTGTCTCTCTCCTAGCCAGAGAGCGCAAATGCCCTATGGCAAAAAACCCTAATAACAACAACAAAAAACACCTAATCCCATTCCCAGATGCAATAGTCCTTCTCTGGCAGCTGCCTACCTGCATGCCTTTCTGGCATGGGGGGTGTATTTCTTTTCTGATAAAAAAATCTTTACTTTTCTATTAAAATGTCTCTTTTCCTACTTTATACGTTTGTGGTTTTTCATTGTGTCTTACGGCAGGTCTCTAACCTTAGAGATCTAGACCAAAAAAACTGAGTATTTTACACAACACAGTTCTGCTCCCCCATCAGATAACACCTATCAAATTTATCTGGGACTATTTTTAAATTACTATTTCAATCTTCAAAAGAATAATCACATATTTTCTAATAAAACACTTATTTTACATGTCTCATTACCAATGCTTGACAGAAAACATTCAGAAGTAAGAAACAACGACAAATTAAGCTATCTCATATTTTCGAGTAAATGCTCAGATAGCGCTGGAAAATAAATATAATGATGTGAGCTGAAATATATTTTGAAAATAATGACTTTTGCATATTTGCCAATAATAATTTTGCAAATTATGTATTACATCCATATTTGTCTGAGGGTATATACATCCTCTCGGTACGTGTGAAAAAAGAACAAATTAAACGTAAAGCAGGAGGAATAAAACTGTGTACTGCAAATTTTTTTTTTTTTTTGGAGAGATTTTCACTGTAGGACGTGTGCGCTCGCCAGACAGACAGAGAGAGACAGAGACAGAAAGCGAGAAATCACCCCCCAGGGGGGATGGTCACGCCGCAATCCCTTCTCCTCCATTCTCCTCTGGGGATCTTGGGCACGCACGCACGCACACGCGCCCGGCGTGAGTTTTAAGCCACCAGGTCCAGGACACGAACCCCGGTCGACTACGTGGGAGTGCAGCGACATAGCCATTACGCTAACTGCTGGTTCCCTGCAAATTTTTTTAAAAGATTTTTTTCTATAGGACAAGTGTGCAGGCCTTTCCCTTCCCTCCCTTCCCTTCCCCTCCCCTCCCCTCCCCTCCCCTCCCCTTTCCTTCCCTTCCTTTTCTTTTCTTTCTCTGTCTGTCTTCTTTTTTTTTTTAGACCCTGGCCAGTGAATCCCTGAAACTGGGTCTGAAATTGCACCTCTGCTCCCGCGGGATGGGGAGTAGCAATGGAAACTGAGATCCTCTGTGATCCTCGGTGTTAGCAAAGTCCCAGAGGCTGAGACTGGCCGTCACCTTCCAGCCTCTGTCCTAAACAGCTCATCTCTTAACTGCAGAGTCCTGGACGGTCTCGATCCAACCACTGCCCACACTCAGGAGGCAGAATCCCGCCTGCCGACACCGACTCACTCACAGAATGCTGTGGACTTCAACTGTTTTCGACGCAGTTGGGAAGGAAGCGTTTCCGCCGTCAGCAGGAGCGGCCTGAAAATGCTAAGCGTTTGCGCTCCTACCTCTGAAGCCAATTTACACCAGCTGCATAGGCTGCCCCACCACGCCACTCAAAACTCCTGGGAGGACCCAGAGTTCCTCGGGGCCGAGTGACTGACAGACTGAGACATCCTGGGGGCGGGGCGAGGAGTTCAGGCCCCGCCCACACGCTGGCCCCGCCCCGTCCGGGCAGCAATTTCCTGCCCACCCGGAAGCCGACTTGAGCGGCGGAGCGAGTTTCAGTATTTCTAGTTCACAGCCGGAGCAGCCGTGTCCAGCACCTGGTCTTCCGCAGGCAGGTTCCGGGTGTCACTGCGGCTGTCACCATCCAGGGACCCCACGTCGCTGTGAGACACTCCGAGTCCATTTCCTGGTCCGCGTCAGTGTCGGCTAAACCTCCCGCTGGCCGGCCCGCCTTCCTCCGCCTTTGTGCCTTCGGACTTTCCCCCGCCTCTCTTCTTTTCCCCGCGCCAGTCCACGTTCGGTTCACGTCCCGGCTTGGAGGTGGGTTCTGGTTCTTCGCCGCCCTTGGTGGGCAGTACCCGGACACCGTGCCCTCCCACTGGCCCTAGGATTAGGATTGCGCAGACCCGGTTCTCAGACCTCCCTGCATGTTCACGTCCTTCTGGGCCAGCCTTGCTTTCCTCTGGCCTCTCCTTAGCCTCTGAGCCCTGGGCTGGGGGACTTTACCAGCCACTGCTCCGTGACACCCCATTCTGTCCCAGATCCTATTCTAGTGGCTGTGGCTGCCAGGGTGTTTATACTACGAATGTCCCAATGGAAAGTGTGGTCCTTCTGAGCGGGGCAAGCCCCTTCCTTTTTATTTCTGAAAATGCCAAGAGGCTGGGGAGGAGAAATAGAATAGAGAGAAAGAGAACCAGGGTAAGGAAAAGAGTCTGGGGGAGAGAAAGAGATACTGAAACAGGATGGGTGGGTGGGCCCTACCGTCTTGGAAAGACATAGGAGTGAAAGTGAAGTGGACAAGAAGTGACATACAGAAATAAGGATAAAAGATAAGGGAATCTGCAGAGAGGCAGGACAGAAAGATTTGACCAACAGAGGAGGAGTGAAAGAAAGATCATAAATTCATTCTTTTTTTTAAAAAAATTTCCAGTTTACATTATTGTTAGTATTACTGTGTCAGATTGAGATTATAAATCCCTAGAAAACCCATCATGGTTTTTTAGTCTTTATATTGCAGGTACCCTTGGTTGCTTAGCATACAGTTTTACACTACTTCAGTGTGCACCTAGTAAGGACATTGATTATTTTTTATATTAACAATGAAAACCTAGTTTAAAATTTTACTTTGATATTTAATAGTTTTTTTATTCTTCTGTGTGATCTTTTTTGAGAGGTTTTTGCTATAAGGCGCGTGTGTTCGACAGACAGACGGAGAGACAGAAAGTGAGAAATCACCTCCCGAGGGGATGGCCACACTGCAGTCTCTTCTCCATTCTCCTCTTGGGATCTTGGGCACACACCCACACGCGCCTGGTGTGAGTTTTAGGCCACTAGGTCCAGGACGCGAACCACGGTCGACTACATGGGAGTCCAGTGACATAGCCATTACACTAACTGCTGGCCCCTCTGTGTGATCATTTAACTCAGTGAGTCTGAACTGAAGTTTCCAACAAATTTTATGTTCCCTTTGCCTTTTCTCCACACATGCTCAAGAATGGGCTGGATTATGGAGCTATTTTTGTTCTCTAACAGTTCCCATTTAATCATGGTGAATGTCTTGTACAGAACTATTTCTATAACTTATCTTTCCTCTCTTCCAGTGCCAACAAACAGATCATCTTAACTATGTCGTTTTTCATAGGTTAATGTGATATTCTGGACAAGAAGAGTGAAATACTTGAGATCACTGTGATTAAAACCACGAGAGAAGTCACTGTTACTCAAGATATGAAATATGGCTTGTAATCTAGGAGAAAGGGTGAGAAGGGCAACACCTGGCACTGTCCCATTTAGATCATGTTGTAACGGTGATGGGTATTTTCTACTGGCCTACCCTGCTGATCTCCTTTCTTAATTTGATGTGTAGGCACACATTCCCAAGGGTGTTGACTAGGGGAAAGTTAAGACATTTCAAACCATTTGTCATGTCAAAGCCTAATCTTAATGATCTTTTCATTTTATTGTATCAACATTTACTTCAACACTCTCATTTTCTAATTTTGACTGTTAGTGTCCCTTTTCTGTTTTTGTTTTGAATCTATTATGTTTCATTATTTAACTGCTTCCTCCAGGATTCTAGATTCATAGCTGTCCAGTACAGTAATTACTAGACGTGTGTCTAAAAAGTTTAAATTTAGAGGCCAGCAGGTGGTTACGGAACTGGATTCCCACATGGCTGACTAGGTTCAAGCCCTGGACCCAATGATTTGAAAATCACACTGGGCAGGAGTATATATATGCCCAAAATCTTCCGAGGAAAACAGAGGAGAAGGGATTGTGGCATAGCCATCCTTACTGGGGGTGACTTCTCACTTTCCCTCTCTCTATCTCTGTCTCTCTCCAGTTAGCACGCGTACCCTATGGCAAAAAACTAAAAAAAAAAAAAATATATATATATATATAACTAAACTACAAATACTCAATATCACTAACCAGATTTCAAGTGATCTGTATTTACATAGGCCTCATAGCTACTCTATTAGATAGAGTATTTTTTCCATCCAAGAAGTTCTGTTGGGCATGTCGATTAATCACTTTGTTTTTATTATACCTTTTGGCTTATAAATTTTTAATATTCTGCTTACCTATATTAATTTTTATGTGTGTTCTCTTGTGTTTTTTTTTTTATTGTTTTAACTTACCTGGATCGATTTTTATTTAATCTTCTTTAAAAAAAAAAAAAAAAAACACTATATAAATAGGGACCAGCAGCTGGCGTAATGGTTATGTCACTAGACTCCCATGTACTTGACCACAGTTTGAGTCCCAGTGGCTCAAAATTCACGCCAGGTGCATTGTGTACGCATGCCCCAAATCTCAAGTCCCTGAAATTACTATTTATACATTTTCTCACACATGTGTATGAACTTCAAAAACATACGGGAAAATTGGAATTCAAATGCAGAGGGTTTTTTTGGTGCAAAATTTTGTAATCCAGTCATACTTTTTAATAATATGCCTTTCTACAAACTTTTTTTTCTTTTTCTTTTTCTTTCCTTTTCTGTTTTTTCTTTTCTTTTTTTTCTTTTTTTGGAGAGGTTTTTGCTATAGGGCATGTGTGCTTGCCAAAAAGAGAGAGACAGAGAGACAGAAAGCAAGAAATCACCCCTCAGGGGGGATGACCACTCTGCAATCCCTTCTCCTCCATTCTCCTCTCGGGATCTTGGGCACACACACACACACGTGCCCGGTGTGAGTTTAAGCCACCAGGTCTGGGACTCGAACAGCTGTCAACTATATGGGAGTCCAGCGACATAGCCATTACGCTAACTGCTGGTTCCTTCTTTTCTTTTCTTGATCAGAGAGAGAGAGAGACAGAGAGAGGGGGGAAAAGTGAGAAAGCAAGCTGCCAGTTACAGGACTCAAACCGTGGTTGGCCATGTGGGAATGTCCAGCACCTTAACCACCATACCACTTGCTGGTCCCTATACAAACTTTTTGAAGACACCCCTGATATATGTGTGTGCGGTGTGTATAATTGAGAACAGGAATGTTGTAGATGATAAAGATTAATATAAAACACAGTTTCAAAGATTTTAGCTGCTATTTAAAAAAATATTACAGTCCCTGGATTTCCTACTAATCCTCAGTCATTCTGTATTTTCTGGGCATCCTTGACCTAAAGGACTGTGTCAGTACATAACAGTAACGTTACAGTACTTATACTCCTGCTTCTTTCTGATACAGGGGATTTTAAAGGCTTGATTGGCAGGGTGGGAACCACCAATCTCTATAAATGGTATAAATGTAATTAATATAATCATAAAATAGATTATTCTTTGATTAATATCCAGTTCCATGGAAGAAAGGTCTGAAAGTTAGGATTTTATAAGAGCAGAAAGGTACACAGCTTCAGTAGCTATGGTGGATTTTGGAAACATTGCCAGCAAATAAAGCAAGAGTAAGAGAATCTCAGAAATTCCATAATAGTTACCTACAGGTGGAAATCCCTGTGTGGGATGAGTCAGGGATCTCTATATTTTGGAATCAGGGAAGAAATTGAGTAACACTGACAGCAGGGGCTAATTCACGTAAAATCCAGTGCTTTTCATGATCTTATCCATGATATATGTATTTCTGTTTTGTTTATTAGCATTCACATTAGCCTTCTTAACTCATGCCATGCATTAAAAGAAGAGTCTTGTACCTGTTTAGAGTGAACTGCAATTTTTTTGTTGTTTAGGTGAGAGTTCACATTGAAATGAAGGTCTGAGGCTTCATGACAGGTGTATCTAGACATTGTGCACAAGACTGGAGTCTGACGGCTTCTTTTTCCATCCACAGTTTACCTGACTACTGCTTGGAATGTGAGTGAAAACGCAGAGGAAGACTGTGAGAAACTGAGTTAATGGCAATGCATCCACTGGTGAGTAGAAGATGCCTTTTTCTACTGAAATTGCACTCCTAATCCCAGAAAATGGGTAGGATTTTACTATTTGCATGGATATTTTAAACACATCAGGTGATTTTCATGGATCTGAGCTCCATTTAAGTTTTCTCAGGAACCTGGGATGGTTATCTTAGGTCAGGAACTCATCAATTTATATCATACTAATATCTATAATATCACTCAGTATCACACTAATATGTGGTACCTTTTTTTTTTTTAATAAGTTTGTGTTTACAGAAGAAATGACATATTTTTTTCTCCCTCAATAAGTTCATGGCCTCATTGGCAAATTGACTCATTAACCATGCTATTAGTTGTAATGAATGCACGTGGTAGAAATAAGTGAGGAGTAAAACCCTGCAGCCTAATAGGGAGGTGCAGTCAGTCATTGCTGTCATAAGTCCTGGAATGATGAGATCTGTGCAGAGTTGAGGAAAAATGAGAGCATGTTAGTCCAGGGAAGGGAGGAATCATTAGTCCATGAGGAATCATTCCTTTTTCCCCAAAATTTCAATCTTCTTAAAATTGATAGAATATATTTAAGCATTTGAAAATTGCTGAAAAGATAACTTAAATACTTATCATTCTTGTCACTCTTTCTCCCACTTAGTAATTAACAATTTTTTTCTTATTTGATAACTGAAAACAATGTGTAGGAAATATTATTAACTTAATTGTGGCTGTGTAATGAAGAGTATAGTAGAACAAATTTAGTGTGTGTAATATCATTGAAGTCCTGGGAAAATTTTCAAAGAAATAGATAGACAAAAGCCAGTAAAGATGCTTCTTTTATACTTAATAAAGATAAAAGAATTATAATAAAGCTACAAGGCAGTAACAACTGATATTTGGGGTTTTCACAGAAAAAGTAGAATGGGAGGTGTCTTCCTTCAGAAATGGTCAGTCTAAGACTATTCTTCAGTCCAGAAGTCTCAAATGTCCCTGGCTTTATGCTACTGAACTATCTGTCCTTACCTTATTATGAACATCTGAGTCACAATGCATTGAAAGAGTTTATACCTACTGATACCAAGATCTGTATGACACTTGTTCAGTTCTGAAGGATGATGAAGATTACATCAAGGTTCTCTTCCATTTTTTTTAACAGAGATTTTTTTTTATAGAGCATGGGCATTAACTGGAGACACAGAGAGAGACAGAGAAAGAGAAAGTGAGAAGTCACTCCTCAGGAGGGATGATCATGCCACAGTCCTTTCTCCATTCTCCTCTGGGGGTTTGGGTGCACAGACACACAAGCCTGGCATGAATTTCAAGCTGGCAGGTCCAGGACTCAAATTTCAGTCAGCCATGTGTGAATCCAGTGTCTTAGCCT